CTGACCACTCTCATGCCCTTGTCAGAAAACTGGACCTCACCTAAGATGAGAGGTTGAGTTATGTAAAGGGCATGCATAAGATCAGCCCCCTGGTGACTGTCCTAAGCCTGATATTCATGAAGGACAGCTGTATCCCTGAGGAGATAGTCTGGGAAGAGCTGAATATAACAGATGTAAATTCAGGGAAGGGGCGCTTCATCTTGCACATCCCATAAAGCTCATTATAGAGATTTGGTGCAGCTAAAGTAACAGTAGTACCAGCAGGCACCCAACAGTGATCCTCCACACTGAATTCCTGTGGCGTCCAGGAGCCCATGCTAAAACCGAAAGTCCTCAAGTTTTTGGCCAAGGTCAATGTTATGGTCCCTAGTACCTTCTCACCCCATTATGAAGAGGCTTTGAGAGATGAGAAAGAGAGAGCCCGAGCCAGAGCTGCAGCCAGAGATGGCCCTACTGCCACGGCCAGTGCGCGTTCCAGGGCCATGCCAGCAGCTTCTTCTATGGCTAGTGAAGTCTTTGGGAGAGTCCCCACTTTGTTTTTAAGGAGGCAGTCAGTGTTCTAAGTAGTAGAGGATCAGAGTAGGAATAAAGGGTGGACAATGTATGTCTTTTTGTGTTCCTGCTCTATATGGGTAACTTGTAGCCTTATTTATTGGCATTTATCAAATGTTCCTTTTCATGGAATATTTATTTAGCTTCAGAATCAAAGTTTTCAAATGACATAGCTTCCACATTTGTTGGAGTTTATCAGGTTTAAGAAGAGTTTTGATATTTAGTAAACTGAATTGAAAATCCTTGAATATTTTTTCCTGTGATCCACACAAAATAACATAGCATTGGAAGAGATATTTTCCCAGAAATGTGCAAAAACCTCACATTAAAATAGTTGAGATTATGAGAAGAAGAAAAAATAAAAAGGCAAAATGTGGTAAATTCTGGGTTTGCCTTATTCCTTTTCATCTTTAGTTTTGTAATCTTAAAAGACATATACCTGGATTTGCTTGGCTTATTCAAGAATATTGGATACATTAATTGTTAATAATTTAGACTAATTTATTTACTGGCTCTTTAATTCTCCAAGCATTAATCAAACATCTACTCTATGGAAGGTTCCATCCTAGTACTGAGGATGGAAAGGAAAAAAACAGACCAAGCCACTGCCCATAAAATTTTAGTGGATAGGAGAAGCTGTCTTATAAAAAGATACTGAGATTTTCTCTCAGACCTAAAGGACAGGCAAAAGCAGGGAGGTGCCAGAAGAGCATTTCAAGTGTAAATTCCTTGAAGCAAGGCAGTGTTGGGCCTTGTGAAACTGCAGGTCCCTCAGTGGTATGCAGTTTAAGTTAGCTGCATGGTGGGCTGCAGGAGCCTGGGATAAAGGTGAGCAACTATGGTGAGCCCTGTAGTTGAAAGACTAAGCTTGGGATGGGAAACTGCACTTAACAGTTACTTTGGGATTGTGACTAAAGCAGAGAAAAATCACCTGCAGGAGGGATCGTATGTGTCCTGTGCTCATGTCCCAGTGCAGGTGGTGAACATTGTGCAAATTAGATGTTTTATTCACATCATGTCCGGGGAGTTTCTGAGAAGTAAAGATGATTCTCCTTTGAGGCAAGATGGTAAGACGCCACTGGGCACCCTTTGCACTGGGCTGAGAGAATCAGAGGCTGTGCCATCAATGGGCATTCAAATGAAGTTATCGTGTGTATACTCTTGACAAACTGGATACAAGTTCTAGGTTTTTGGTGATGGTTAAATTAATGAAAACAAGGGTGGTTTAGATGAAGGGCTGCTCAGAGGGAGGGAAGTTGTCAATCCTTGACACAAATTTAGGAGCTTTGTTTTGCATCTAACTGGGGAAGTGTATCATATACCCATATCAAACAATTTATCATGTAATAGGGAAATATTACTTAGTTTTTCTTGCTAATCAGCATTTTGACTGATTGAGTTTTCTTTTTTCTGGGATGCTACGTATTTGCTGACTTCTACTGGAATAAAAAACAAAAACAAAAGAAAATAAAAAACAATCCCAGCAGGGTAGGTGGTACCTATTAATTGGGGTCCAAATTAATCATAGTAATAAATGCCACATTTTATTATTTATTATGAAGTTTCAGTATAGGCCAGTCACTTTGCCAGTCACTTAACACACAATTATCCACTTTCTACCAGTCCCACAAGACAGAATTTATCAAACCTACTTTGCAGTTGCAGAGCCTGATGCTCACAGAGTTTAGTAATGTGCCCAAATTCATATGGCTATTAAGGGACAGGTTTGAAACTAGATCCCTGATCTGGTTTAGTCAAGAGCCCACACTTCCAGTTCTTCCCAGCCTGAGGCCCACTTTGTGTTTCTTAATTCAATTTTACTCTTTCTTCTTAAATATGTGTCTCAGGCAATAAAAAAAAAAATCTGTGCTCATACAACTGGGTTGGAATACATTCCCAGAGCAATATTAATACCAAAATAAATGGCAGGCATGAATAAAGAAAAGAAAGCTAATACTCAGCGACAGCACGATCATTTACATATGTAGTGTCAGATAACCTCCAAAGACGAGGGACTCACAAAATCATCCTGGACAGCCCCATCCCTGTGAAATATAAATGTATCAGAACAGAATTTACATGAGATTCTAAGTCTGGCTGGAGAAGAGAAGGAAAATATCAGCATATTTTTTCCCCTGAGAGCACACCGCCTGTCTGGAACTCCTGCTTTATGCTTCAGCTTCCCCATCTCACATCACTCTGAAGACAGGGACCAAGGTTTGCAGAGGGGGAACTTCTCAGGTGTTCCCAGGGATGTGGCATCTCCCAGGAAGTTGTTAATCGAAGAGGCAGAAGCCAAGAGGAGGACGTCAATGTCACATGGAGGACCCTGGGGGAAGACCCTGGAGCAGGACCCTGAGGGAGGAGCCTGAGGGATCGCCCACTGGTCCCGTGGAGCCCCGCCCCTGCCACACAGGGCCCCGACTTCAGCTTCTGAGGCGAGACGCTGAACCGGCAGACGCGACGTTTGTTCGGCCCAGCGCTGTTTCCACGGACTCCTTCGGAGCCAAGGTGAGGGTCTGAATGTGGCCTAAAGGGACTTTCCTTCCCTCCCGCCACCCTCCGGTAACAGAGGTGACCCACCCACATTGCGCTCTGTGATCTGGCCCTGGGAGGCTCCAGCAGAGCTAGCGGGCTGACTTCGGCCTGAAATGTCTCAGGGAGAAAGCCTTGGTCTTTGAGGGTAGCCTCGGTTCTACAGATGGAAGAAATGTAAGTCCTGGATGAGGGTCTCTGGTGCTAATGAGCAGTTAACCTTTTTACTGCTAATGAGTAGCAGCCTTTTGTCTACCACAAAAGGGGGCCACCCTGAGCAGCGCCCCTGTACTCAGCTCTAGGAGGCCCCATACAAGGTAGACGGATGTGGAGTAACTTATCCCCTCCAGTGGCTAAGGGCTATGCCTGATAACTCCCAAACTCAGCAAAGGAGGGCCCGGGCAGCACTGGCAGGCTGTGGTACACCCTCATTTCCTCTGGAGGTGGTCTCGGGGAGGTGGGAGCCTTGGTCTAACGGAATAAGCCCAATTTAGCAAAGGGACCTAGTCCCTAACAGGATTCAGGGTTGTGACACTGAGTGAGGATGGGAGGCCCCTCCCACAAAAAACGAGGTCACATAAAGCAACAGTCTTGTTTTCAGGGTTGGGAGAATTGGTCATTTTGACATGAGTTGCGCTCACTTTTTCCCAGAACATCTCAGGGAGGTGAGAGACAAGTTCAGAGGGGGCAGCCTCAGGTCAGCAACAGAGGATTTCAGGTTATGCCAGGTGTCATGGTGAGAACCTGAGGACTGTGGGGATGTCCCATAACACATCAGTGAGACCACAAAGAATCCTCTTTATCATCATCCCTGGGAGATGTCAAGGGTAAACGACAAGCAGAAGTGCCCCTCAGTTCCCACTGCAGGCTAACAGGGAAGTGAGGGTCTTGGCCTGAGGGAAATGGTCCCAGGTCAGCAGAGGGAGAAATCTTAGACCCTCTCACAAGTCAAATGTAGAGCTTGAGTTGGGATTTTGTGTGGGACCACAAGGACATCAATCTGCCTGCAACAGCTTTCATTCTTGGGAGACCACACTTGGTAAGATAAGGTCATCTTCACTTCCTCCTAATGGGACTCAGGGAGATTGACTCTTACTATTACATAGGCATCAGTTCAAGAAAAAGTGGTGCTTCCAACTGAGGAACCTGAGTGAGGACTCAAGGGACCATCTTACCCTGAATAGAGGGGACATCAGAGTGTCTTATTACAAGCCTTTGACTTCATCCCAGGAATCTCAGGGAAGGGCTGTTGGGTTGAGCATCCCCTTCACTTCTTTGTATCAAGTCTAAAGGAGGCAAGATCCTTAGTCAGGTGCAGCCACCAGTCAGCAAATGGAGAGTGGTGCCAAGCCTTGTAAGGAGCAAAGGTGAAGACTGTGAATGGTGATCTCAGTGAACTCAGGACAGAAAGGACCCTACTAAGCTCTCAGCACTGGATGTCCCCTGGCAGGGAGGTGGACTGAGGCACCCCTTCACTTCCTTCTCCTGGATCCCAGGGAGCTTTAAGGTGTCAACTTTAGAGTAGCAGAGGGGAGGGTGCCCAGGCTCTGTCCAGAGTTGACATGATAATACTGATGATGAACTGAGAGGACACCCCCCACCCCGCCACCAGTACCTGTATCACCTGAGTAAATCCAAGGCAGGGCTAATAGGATATGGATTAAAACTCACTCTGAGGCCTCTATGGTTCCTCTGTGGCATTCTGTAGGGATGGGCTGACTAGGAAAACGGGAGCCTTGTGGGTTCCTAGAGAAGTGCCCTCAAGGAAACTTGCAGAGGCAGCCTTTGATAAAGCCAAGGTGGGATCTCCCTATTTTAAGGTGCTCACATGATCTCATTCTCCATCCTCCAGGCGTCCAAATCACCTGTCCATTGGCCCGCACTCCTATCTGCTGTCCCTGACTACAGCCATCATGCCTCGTGGTCAGAAGAGTAAGCTCCGAGCTCGTGAGAAATGCCGCCATAACAGAGGTGAGACCCAAGGTCTTAGTGCTCAGACCACTGCAGCAGGGAAAGAAGAAACTACTCCCTCCTCCTCTCCTGTTTCTGGGGGTGCTCCCTCTAGCTCTTCTGTTGCTGTCACTGCCCAGAAGCCTAAGAAAGCCACAGCCACCACCAGAACTGCTGCAAGTGTTTCATGCTCAAAATCTGATGTAGGTGCCAAAGGCCAAGTTAAGAAAAGTGAAAATTCCTCCCAGGCTTCAACCTCCAGTGAGAGCTCTCCCGAAGATCCTCTAATCAGTAAGGCGGCGATGTTGGTGCAGTTCACACTCTAGTATAAAATGAAAGATCCCATTAAAAAGGCAGAAATGCTGAAGACTGTGGGCAAAAGGAATAGGAAGAATTTCCCTGAGATCCTTGGGAGAGCCTCTGAGCGCATGGAACTGGTCTTTGGCCTCGAGCTGAAGGAAGTCAAACCCAACAGTCACTCCTATGCCCTGGTCAGCAAGCTAGATCTCACCGATGATGAGAGCCTGGGCAGTGGCTGGGGACTTCCTAAGAATGGGCTTCTGATGCCTCTCCTGGGTGTGATCTTCTTGAATGGCAACTGCGCCTCTGAGGAGGAGACCTGGGAATTCCTGAATATTCTGGATGTCTACGATGGAAGGAGGCACTTCATCTTTGGGGAGCCCAGGAAGCTTATCACAGAAGATTTGGTGCAGGAAAAGTACCTAGAGTACCGCCAGGTGCCCAACAGCGATCCTCCCCGCTGTGAGTTCCTGTGGGGCCCAAAAGCCCGCGCTGAAACCAGCAAGATGAAAGTCCTGGAGTTTTGGGCCAAGGTCAATGATACGGTCCCCACTGCCTTCCCAACCCATTATGAAGAGGCTTTGAGAGGTGAGGAAGAGAGAGCCCGAGCCAGAGCTGCAGCCAGGGATGGCCCTACTGCCAGGGCCAGTGTGCGTTCCAGGGCCACATCCAGCCGCTCCTCCCGCCCCTAGGGAGGTCTGAGCAGATTCTTCACTTTGTAGTTGGAAAAGCCTGTTAACCAGTGCTCCTGATATGCATAAATAACTTGTTGACTTTTTTTGGTAATTTTAAAGTGGTTTTCTTTTCAACAGAAAGTTTATTTTGATTCAGAACATAAGTATATGAATCACATGGATCACTCTATTATTGTTGTTTATCAGGTTTAGAAGTAAGAATTTTGTGTTTTGAAATACAAATTGGAAATCCTTACATAACTTTTGTGATCCAGAACAAGAATGACATAACCTTAGGACAGGAATATTTTTGGAAATGTGAAAGAACTCCACACTAAAATAGTTAACATCAGAAGACAGATAGATAGATGACAGATAAAGTGAAGGTTGGTCAGTTCTTGGTTTGCCTTACTCCATTTAGTCTTTCTTTTTGTAAGTTTAAAAGATATATACCTAAAAAAGATATATACCTTGATTTGCTTATATTTTTCAAGAATGTTTGAGAGTATGAAACATAGCAAATCACACCTCTTTGTTCATGGCTCTTATTTTACACAAACATTAATTGAGCGTCTGCTGTTAAATCTTCCTGCTTGTACTAGGGATGTTTAATCAAAAAAGTCCAAGCTCCTGCCCATGTATAGTTTCTAGGAGAAGCTATCATTATGGAAGAGGATGAGGTACTCTCTACTTCAAGGAGAACAAGTAAAAGGCAGGTGAAGAGAACATATTATTTAGTTTTCATTGCTAAACAGAGTTTTGGTTAATTGGGAGGAGTTTTGGGGGCTAGAATGCAGCATGTTCTCTGACATCTCTTAGATGTAAAAAAAAAAACCCAGCTGGATGGATGATAACATCTGAGGTCAAGATAATCATAGCAATAACTGCCATTTCCTAATGTCTCAATACAAGACAGGCTCAGTGGCAGAGGCTTTCCATACATTACAGGTATTTACCAGTCCTATGACACAGGGCTTACCAAACTCACTTCACAGTGGAGAGCCTGAGGCCCATAGATTCAGACTTTGGTAATGTGCCAGAGTTCGTAGGGCTAGTCAGTGACAGGCCTGGGACTAGACTTCTGGTCTCAATTACTGTAGAGCTCACACTGTTCTACTCCACCCCACCCCACCCCGCCCGCCCCAACTGAGACACACCCTGTATGTCTTATTTCATTTTTTTCTCTGTAGTTCAAAATTTTTCTTAAGTGTTAAAAAGACAGGCCTTGTGCTCAAGCTACTAGATTGGAGTACATAGCCAGAGCAATAAGAATACCAAAGTATTTAAGAGGTATAAATAAACAAATGAAAGAGACAGTGTTCGGTGACAGTATTATCATCTGTATTTGCGATGTTAGATAACCTCAAAAGACCAGAGACTGTCAAAATCATCCTTACAGTCTCTTCCCTGTAGAAGGTAAACCTATCAGAATAGAAGTTCCATGGGAATCTTCATCTGGCTGATGAAGAGATGGAATAGATCAGTGTACTTTTTTTTCCCTGACAGGCCACTACCTGTCCTAGGACTCCTGCCTTGTGCTATAGCTTCCCCATCTCACCTTACTCCTGGGAGAGGGACCCATTCTCTGCAAGGTTTGCAGAGCAAACACTGTTCAAGAGCTTCCACAGATGTGGAATTACCTAAGAAGCCTTTAATCCAAAAGACAGAAACCAAGATGAGGGCCCCGTGCAGGAGAAATGTGGAGACCAACACCCCAGAATATAGAGGGGTTCACTGGGACACCAGTCCTGTCTGCTCTCAAACACAAAGGGTCTCAGACTGGGTTGTTAGGCTAAGCATACCCTCACTTATTCTTCAGGCTTCTCAGGGGCATGAGAAACTTGGTCTAAGGGCAGAGTTCTCATGTTGGTAGAGGAAAGAGTATCAGTCTCTCACAGAAATGAAGGAGATAAAGCCAAATGAGGATGATGGCAAACAATAGGATCCCATAAAGTCACGTCCACGTTGGCAGCCAGGTGAGTTCTAGAACAGTCCTGGGTAACACTTTCAGTTCAGGTCCCAGGAAGGTGAGAACTTTGAAGACAGTGGCCTCAGATCAGCAGAGAATGGAGTCCCAGGAAGGGTGCAGAGTCAAAGTGTGTGTACATGGGGAGCACTCAACCCATGACTAAAGGGGCTGCACTCGCCCCTCCTTTTCTGTTAGCCCTGGCCTCCTTAGGCAGGAGCTGGCAGGCTGAAGTGCCCCCTGAATTCTGGCTGGAAGGCTGCAAGGAGATGAGGACCTTGGTTTATAGGCTGGCTCTTCAGCAGAGAGTGGAATCCCAGGCATGACAGTGTCAAAGTAAAAGTCCTGTGTGAAGAATGTAGCAACCAACCACCCACTGACAGATAAATCCTTAGACAGTCCCGCTTCTGCAGTTGGCCCTGGGAGGCCACCGGCAGAGCTTTGGGGCTAAGTTTATCCCTTATTTACTGAGGGGGGATGGTCTCAGGGATTTAAAGTCCTTGGACTAATGCTGAAGGCCTCATGAGGCAGAGAAAGGATACCCAGTACTTAACAGGAGTCAACGTAATGACACTGAGTGACAATGAAAGGATCTCTCCCAGAAAGAAGGGAGCATATAGAGCACTGTCCCTGCTGTCAGACCTGAGGCTATGCCACTTAGGCATGGTGATGTTATAAGTCATACTTACTTCCTCCCAGAGCATCTCATGGAGATGAGGAAGCTCAACAAAGGAGGCAGCGACAGCTCAGCAGAAGGAGGTTTTCCAGATTGTGCCAGGAGCCAAGGTAAGGACCCTGAAGACTGAAAAGGTTACCCACCTCATAACAGTGGGGGCAGAACATATTCCTTCCACTACTGTTAACCTTGGGAAACCATGGACTGTTGCGGCCAGACGAAGCAAACTCCACTTCTTCTAAGGGGTCTCGGGGAATTGGGGGCCTCATTATGAGGGGAGGAGCCTCAAGGCAAGACATGGGATATTTCTAGTTTGTGCCAGGAGTTGGGGTGAGGACAGTGAAGAGTATGAGAACACACACCCCCATATCAGCAGTGGCCAGAGGGAATCTTCTGTGCTGTCAGCCTAGGAGGCCCCAAGCAAAGATGTCAGGCAGAGTGGCCTATCAGTTCCCACCCAGGAGTCACAGGGAAGTGAGGGTTGTGGTCTGAAGGTGGTGGTCCCATGTCAACAGAGGGAGGAATCTTAGGCCTGCCTGAAAATCAAATTTAGGACCCTGACTTGGGACCCTGAGTGGGACCATCTGTCATAGGGCCTCAACCGACCTGCCACAGCTTTCATTCTTGTGAGATCACGGGCAGATGTGGCCTGATAAAGCCACCCTTATTTCCCCTTGTTGGGTCACAGGGAGGTGTGGGTCTTACTATGAGGAAATAGGCCTCAAGTCAAGAAGGAGGGGAACCCCAGGCCCTGCCAGAAGTTAAATTGGAGAGCCTGAGTAAAGGCTGAGGGGTCTACCCATCCCTGAATAGAGGAAACAAAAGAGAGTCATGCCCTACCCTTTGATAGCAGCTCTAGAAAGCTCAGGGCAGGGCTCTCAGGCGAGGCTCTCCTCATTTCTTTATGTCAGGTCTAAGGGAGGTAAAATCCACCAGTCATGTGAAGGGAGGGGTGTGCTTCACAGTTACCTTACTTGCGCCGTCAGTCCTACCAGGCAGGGTGCATCAGCCTGCCTCGCAGATAAAGAGCCTGAGGCTCACTCACAAAGTTTAATAACATGACAGAGTTCCCATGGCCGGTAAGTGACATGGATGGAAATAGACCCATAATTTGAGTTAGTCTAATGCCTGCACTCTTTCACTCCTCTAAGCCTGCACTGACCTTGTGTCCCTTAACTCTTTTTTCTCATTTCTGGGAAATGTGTCTCAAGCAATAAGGACTCTGTGGTCAAACTACTGAATTGTAATTCATAGCAAAATGAAGGTGAGGTATGTATAGGGGAAAAAGAGGTAGTATTTGCTGAAAATAGGATCATCTACATATGTGACTTCAGATAAGCTTAAAAGATCAGGGACTCAAAAAATCATCTGTCTCAGCCATTTCTTTATAAAAAATAAACCTATCAGAACAGAAGTTACTTGAAAACTAAAGTCTGGCTGGGGAAGAGAAGGACTAGATTGATATGTTCTATTTCTCTTCCAGCCCACTACCTGGGCCCCCTTAACTTGTGCTGTGGATTTCCTATCTGACATCACTCCTAGGACAGGGACTCATTCTCTGCAAGGTTTAGAGTAGGGAAACTGCTCCAGAGTTTTCAGAGATGTGGCATTTCCTAAGAACCCTTTGATCAAAGTGACAAGGGCCTATATGAGGACACCTGTGGATCAGGACTGGGGAAAGCAACATTCCAGCATATTGGGTGTTTCAAAGACACCAGCCCCCCCCCCGCCCCCCGCCTACTCTCAGACCTAGAAAGCTCCAGGCTGAGATTTCGGGCTGAGCATCTCCTCACTTTTTTTGTCGCAATTGTTAGAGACTTGAGAGCTTTGGAGGGCAATCTTGGGTCAGTAGGAGTTGTCAGATGTAAATGTGAGGCCCCTTAAAAAGAAATGAAGGAAGCACCCACTCATGACACTGGGGTCCTGGGGAGTCCAGTTCCTGTTGTCAGCCCTTGGAGGTCCTGAATCCCATCCCAGGATGAAGTATAAAGAGGCTTTGAGAAATGAGAAAGAGAGACCCCGAGCCAGAGTTGCAGCCAAGCCTGGCACTACAGCCATGGCCAGTGTACGTTCCAGAACCAAGTCCAGCAGGACCTTCCACACCTAGTGAAGTCTAGGGCAGAGCCTTCATTTATGGTTGAAAAGACAGGTCAATATTCTAAGTAGTTGAATGCCAAGTGGAGCCACAGGGAACATGTTGTATGTCTTCTTTTCTTGCTCTACTTGAGTAAGTCTGAGATTTATCTTCTTCTGTTTGGGGGTTTCTTTTTGCTACTCCTAAAATACTGTTCCTTGTAATTGAAGATTTATTTGACTTCGGTATCTGTGTTTATGAATAGTGTATATCACACATTTATTGCTGCTTTTCAGTATAAG